AATAACAAATATTCTGTGGACCACATTTGAGCAGCATATCTGGACACTAAAATCAGAGTGCCCAGTAGCAAATCCTATTACTATCCAAGTCAGAATTCTAGCATTTAGCAGAAAAAAGAGTTCCCAAGAATCCTTTACCAATCAGATCTCATTTTCCCTACATCAAGAAGCTTTAAAAAAAGATTTCCTTTGGATAAATGCCCAGTAGTGGGATTGCTGGTTCCTATGGTAGTTCTGTTTGTAGTTTTTTGAGGAACCTCCATACTGTTCTCTGCAGTGACTATACTAGTTTACTTATGGGAAGTAAAAAGTAGTACAGAGGTTACTATAGACTAGGAAGGGTAGGGGGAAGGGAGGATAGGAAGAGTTTGTTAAAAGATATAAAATCACAGCTAGGACAGGAGGAGAAAGCTCTGTAACATTATATGATAATTAACAATAATATATTTTTTCAAGTAGCCAGAAGAGGGGATATTTAATGTTCCCAACACAAAGAAATAATAAATGTTTAAGATGATGGATATGCTATTTACCCTGATCTGATCACTATACCTTGTACATACTGAAACATCACTATGTACCCTATAAATATGTGTAATTATGTGCCATTTACAGATAAATTAATATTTTTAAATTCCCATAATTACGAGTCAAAAACCTTTGGTTATTCAAAATGTATTTTCTAAACAAGAAGGGGTAAAAAACAATTGCCCAGGGAGCTTTCCAAAATAAACATCTCTCTCCACCTCCTGGTAAAAGTAATACAATGATGACCTTTTAGTCAAGCCACTCTTCTGTGATGAAGTACTCTGGGGAAAAAACAGCCAACAGATACAGCTATTGTGTATCTATCAATGCCAGGAACTCTCCCAACATGCTTTACATACAGCATTTCTAATCCATCCTAAAGTTAGATATTATCTCTATTTTATTTAATGTGGAAACTTAACCTTGGAAAACCTGGGTGATGTGGCCCTGTCAGAGAAGAATTTGCTGAGCGAGATTACAACCCAGGTCTATGTCTCTCCACTACACTCAAGTTGCCACCAAGGAATTATTTCCATGTTTTAATTCTATGCCAAATATCGCAGGCTGCTCAGTCAAGTGGAGTATCACCTGCACAGCATGGTATTATGGGAGCCACACAGCCTGGATTTGAATCCTGCTTGGCCACTGCCAGGCCTGTAACCCTGGGTAGGTTACTCAACCAACCTCTTTGTTCTCAGTTTCCTCGTTAGTCAAATGGAGATATCATTCCCATCCACTAATGGGGTTCTCTTAAGGACTAAGTTAACACGCAGGCATTCACACACGCCAGCACTCTTGTCATGGTTAGTCCCTCGAGCCTGCTCTTGCTGCTGTTCTTTTCTACTTCAGGCCACAAACCTGAGTCATTCTCAGTCTTTCCTTCTTGCCATTTCTAGTCAGTGGGCAAGGACTATCAACTCCATCTCAAATACAATGTCTCTTGATTTCCACCGCCACCACCTGTCAGGCTACTATCATCTCCTCTCATGTCTACTTTATCAGCCTCATAAATGGATCTGCCACTAGCCCTGCCTGTTCCAGTCCATCTTCCACAGCTTAGCTAGAGGAAGTTCTTGGAACAATGATGACCATGTTACCTCCTTGCTTTGAACCTCTCAGCTAAATTCCAATACCCCAAATGTAGTCAAAATACCCTTCTCCTCCTTGGTTTACAAGATCACTGACTTACCCATCTATTTCTTCTGCATAATTTTTTACCTCTCTCTAAGCTCTTCAAGCTATAGGCAATATTAAGTGTCTTAGTTCCTTGAATGAGCCATGTTCTCTCCACCCAGTCCTTTTATATAGCATTCCTCTGACTGGCTAACACATTCTTCCAGTCTTAGGTAAGAACTCCCTCGGGAATCATCCTGCCCCAGTATCCTTATGATATTATGATATGATGAGAAATATGTGTCCCTGGTTTCTGGCATGGGAGCTTCTAAAACCTTTGGAATTTCCTGAGTGATAGCAGTGAGAGGAGTATCTCTGAGTTTATGCTAACAAGGTGATTCTTGGTAGGCCCCTGGATAGCTTCATGATGAGGGCTGATTGCCAGAAGAACCTAAACCTATCATGTGATTAGAGGTAAAATTTTCAGTACCGTTTCCTCCACCAACCTCTACAAAGGAAGCTGGAGATTGAGTTGCTCACCAATGGTCAATGATTAATGAATCATGCTTACATAATGGGATCTCCATAAAATCCCCTAAGTGAAGGGGTACGGAGACCTTCCAGGCTGGTGAACGTCGAGGTGCTGGGAAGGGGGCTTGCCCAGGGAGAGTGTGGATGCTGTGTCCCACTCCCCCACCCTGCGTGCCTTCCATTTGGCTGTTACTGAGCTGCATCCTTTATAAGGCAGTAAATGTAAGCAAAGTGTTTTCCTGAGTTCTGTGAGCAGTTCTAGCAATTTATCAAACCTGAGGAGGGAGTCAAGGGAACCCCTTGACTTTATAGCTGTCTGATGAGAAGTACAAGAGGCCTCGAGTGGGGGCAGTGAAGGCAGTCTTATGGGACTGAGCCCTTAACTTGTGGGATTGGATGCTAACTACAGAGAATTAATGTCAGAATTAAATTATATTGTAGGACATCTAGCTAGTGTCTGGAAAGTTGGAGAACTGGTGTTGGTGGAAGGAAGAAAACCCACATAATTGGTATCAGAAGTGTTCTGTGAGAAAAAACTGATCATAGGAATCCCTGAGCCAAAGACCACACAGATGCCCCTAGCACCCTGCCCCGATCCTAGGACTCATCACACTGAACTGTAATTGGCATTTCATCCATCTGCCTCACCCACACTTAAGCTTATCTTAAATCTCCCTGTATCCCTGCTGCCAAGCACAGTGCTATGCACATAACTTCACAACAAATGTGCTCAGAGTGAGATATCATCCAATTTTTTATCTTGTAATCAGCCACCAGCTTGGGAAAAATAAAACGTCAAAGTCCTATCAAAGCACCAGAACACTCTGCCTCTGAGCTTCAAAGTCATCAGAGGACCAACAGATGGAGATACACAGCAGCAAATGTGCCAGGTATACCAGGGAGAACAGGCCTTTGGCTGACCTCCGAGGGCGTCAGGAGACATCTTGCCTCCTCACAGCGTCTTTCTGCCCCACTGCCAGTCATCTTGCCAGATGCTGCTGTGCGCGCTGCTGCTGGATCACAGCACGGCACGGCTGAGTGGAGCGGTCAGAGACCAGCACTCAGCAGTCTTTTTCTTTCAACCACCCCAATGAGAGCTGAATTCAGGCAAAAAATTAGACACTCTTATATACAAGCTGGGAAATCATCTTTTCCTTCATCTATATCAGAAATTATTGTTGTAGCTCATAAATGACTTGGACTGGGGTCTACGTTTTAAAAATATACTCACTATTGTGTCCCCGCTAAAAGATACGATCAAGTCTTACTCCCCCCCTCCCCCCCCATATTTGTAAAGGTGACCTTATTTAGAAATAGGGTTTTTGCAGACATAATCAACTTAAAATGAGGTCATGTTGGATTACAGTAGGCCCTAATCTAATGACTGGTATCTTTATAAGAAGAGAGAAATTTAGACACAGGCATACAGGAGAAAAGGCCATTCAAAGTAGACAGGGATTAGAGTGATGCATCTATAACCCAAGGAATGGCAAGGATTGCTAGCAACTACCAGAAGGTAGAAGAGACAAAGGATTCTTCCCCTACAAACGTTAGAGGGAACATGGGTCCTGCTAACACCTTGATTTTGGACTTCTAGCCTTCAGAACTGTGAGAGAATAAATTGGTTGTTTTAAGCAATCCAGTTTGCCGTGCTTTGTTATGGTAGCCCTAGGAAACTAATGTACTCAAAAAACAAGTTAGTTGGCTCCTTCTCCATCAGTAGCCTGAGTCATTACACTGACAGGAAGACTTATCACACATTCTATAAGAGCATTAGTCTAGACGCTTCAATTTTTATGTTATATTTCTTTGAAGCTTAGTTTGATTTCCTTCACAAAAACAGCAGCTTCCTATGAATAATGTACCAATCTCCTAACATGTTAATATTTTATGCTTCCATCCCGGTCAGGTGCATATTGATATGTAACAGAAGAGGATACCATTCTTAATCACAGAGAAGGCAAAGCAAAACAAAGCTGAAACATTTTTCCAGGTCTTAAAGCTGACATTTCACATACTCAGCAGAGTTCAGTTGTGATGGGCAATTGGGACCAGAGACCTACCAGTAACAAAGTTGCTGAATGAAATATGGCAGAAACGTGCACACACAAGTGTGTATGCGCGTGAAAGCACAATGTATACCTTGGAAACTATGTTAGAAAGACAATAGCTGCAATTTTCAACTCCCTATCTAAGCTGGTATATGCCTCCTCCCATCCTTCACCAAGTTCTCCAATGTAGACACATTTTTGGCTTACCATTCCTATGTAGTTAACATTCAACTATTGGCTGATCACTGACAAAAAAGAAATACTGACACCCAGAGGCCTAGATTGGTCAACTTCCAGTTCTACTATCATTTGCTTCAACTTTTGAAAGCTGTCACTTTCAAATCTAATTCTTTGATACCAAAAGCTAAACAGGCAAACGACATCATTTAGTCTCAGGGTAGCTCTGGAAAAACTCAGATTGAAGCTTTTCTGGGTATGAATGGTATTATTTAACTGCCATAAAAATTCAGGAGACATGATAAATAAATTATTTAAGGCACATCTCTATAAATCACACTTATCATTTTTACTATTTAACAGCATGATAGAAGGCTCCACTTGATACCAAGAGCAATAAATACTGGAAGCAGAAAACTCATTTTTAGAGACAAGGCCTTCTTTTGAGGTATTCTCAATCATCATTAAATTGTCAGGAGATACAGAAGTAGCCTGAACACAGCAGAAAGAACACTAGCTTCAGGATCTTAGATCTGCCACTTAGAAGCTGAGCAATGTCGTGTACTTTTAAATGGAGCTGTGGAAGTGTAGGTAACCCACCTCTGCACAGACGGGGTGGATTCCAATTGTGTTGTCCAGCTGTTTTTTGGTCAGTCCACATTTGAGTGCAGCTGCAAAGCCTTGTGTAACTTCTCCAGCATTTGGACCCAGTACGTGAAATCCCACAACACGTTCCTAAGATATAAAATAAAATAATACAATTAAACTGATTTCTCTCCCCTTCTCTTCCTACACAGCCTACAGTATTTCCCCAGTTTATTCTAAACAACCCATTTCAGAAATGGCCAAAGACTTAAATAATGTGTATTTCAAGCAGGGAAGAAGAGAAAGGAGCCAGCTAAAAGTGATGATGAGGAAAAATATCTGCACATCCTTAATCAACAAAATGTTCTGGAAAATACTACTACCTAAGGGCAGTGGTATTCTTGTTTTCTGTATTTGGTTGTCTCAGCTCCATGTAGACTATGTGTGATAGCTGTGACATTTAAGGGCAGTCATTCAAATTACAAAATGATTTTAACTAAGGTTTGGGTATAGATTGTGCAATTAGATACTTTTAAGACTGTTCCAATTTGAAAACATTTTTGAAAACGAAAGAAAAATGTTTGGCAACTATGAAATATCTGTGTAGGATTATTTTGGATAAATTCTAAATCTCAAACTCAGACTACCTCCGCCAAAAGCAAAGAAATCTGATGCATTCTACTGTTCAGTTGATAGATTTTCAGAGCTGACTCTGACTAAGCCAGATTAAGTAGCCCTATTTCCTCATGAGGCAACTCAGGCTCTAGGGTGCAGAGCTTATCAAATGTTCCATCACTCCTTAGAAACAATCAGAAGGTCACTCTGCTGCCAAAGTACTGTGGTATATTCCATGTTATACTCTTACATGTTGTTCACCCTGATAATCAGGGGCGTTCAGGGTATAAAGTATAGCTATTTATAAGATAAAATACTACAATGCATTTAAAATATACTATATTTACATGTAATAATGTAGGAAAGTTCTCAAAAAACAATGAGACATAAAAAAGTTAGAGGACTCTATTTAATGAGGATGCCACTCGTAATTAAACCACAACACACTGTATCATGTTTATGCATATACAAATAGGGGGCAAACATGAAAACATAAACATGAGAGACACTCCAACTTCAGAACAGTTTTGCTTCTAGGGAAGGAATGAATACAAAAGACTACACTAGATAGGATAATAATTGATAGCACGGAATCTACATTACCTGGGATTGATTTCTAGCTTTGCCCTTAAGTAGGCAAATAATTTGAACATGATTTCTTAACTTCCATGTGCTTTAGTTTCTTCATCTATAAAATGAGGATAACGAAAGCACAGACCTCATAGGATTATGTAAAGATTAAATAAATTAATATCTGTAGATTTCTACATAGTGCCTGGTACATAATAGATGCCTTATAAGCTATTATAAACTGCATATCTATGATGATTTCTCTCTTACAAGACAAAAGCTCTGAAATAATACAGCAAAAATGTTAATATTTATTGAATCTGGATGGTGGGTACCTTCCCCACCTTTATGTATATTTTAAATATTTTATGTAAACAAAGAATAGCACAGAACAAAAGTCAGCAGACAATAAACATTCTAAGTACTATTTAAAATCAAGGACTTTTAGACACTATGAAGTGATTGACTCAAAATGAATAAAGCATGCCCAAGATCAGTCAAGTTCTAGAAGCATGCTTTTGCATCGGATTGCTCATGACAAAAAAGCAATGATAAATATTCTTCTTCTCTACTACTATCTTTATCTATGAAAATAATTGAAAATAGTATCACCCTACTTATGACCTCAACTATTTTAATTAAGACAGTTTTACTGGTAGTGAAACTATTTTTCATATTATATAAGCAATGCCATTCAAACAAATATAACAGTGAAAGAAGAACAAAATAACCACAAATGGTTAAAGTGGATATGGTTGGTATAAAGGAAACTTTCATGGTTTTATTGATTGCTATGTGCAACTGAAGTCTCTAGAGGCAGTTAACAGACTGCCAATGAGAGAATACCTGGTGTTTTCTCCTTTTATTTACAGAAGTGACATTAATAAAAGTTATGTTTAAAATGAAAAAGCAAACTCTACATATAATTGTTCTTTTTATCAACTGTGTAGTTCATTATAGGTTATTCTAGTATATTCACTTGTAGAGTATCCAGGGAAATGTTTTCTAAAACTCTGGGTTCTACAAAAACAAAAAAACAACAAAAAAACCAACTTGCAACTGTGCTACTGTCTAAAGCAGTAGCTTCTAAACAGGACACATGACTTAATTATATTCAAATATCAAGATAAGAAAATTATCAGAGTTTATTAGGCATTTATAGCATATGGATTCTTTAGCATTGTTTATATTTTTACTGAGGGCATTTTTAAGGTAATGTGTCAGCTAAGTTAAAAATATTAGTTTCATAACATTCAATACAATACTTAAAGACAAGTATGCATTATGTGCATACATACATGTGTTACACGTTACAATGTAAACAATATATTTCTTACTATGTGGCAGCAGTCAAAAAAGTTTGGAGAACACCAATTTACTCAATCCCTTATTTTGTAGGTATGAAACAAAGCCTGTAAGGTGAAGGAGTTTGCCCAAGGCCTTCAGTTGCCAGGTGTTACATGTAGCAGCAAGCAATGAAATCTTAAATCAGAACACAATTAAGAGCTCTTTCTCATTAGTGCCAGTTGCTAAGGATCAAACTTGCATCACACTCTTGTTCTTTTTGTTCATTATTTTTAGATAGACAATGACTTCATTTCATTTCCCCTCTCTTATAAACACAAACACATATAGTTCTCAAGTTATGCCTTTGGTTCCTTCACTCAAGAAGTTCTGACCACCTGCTGACTATGGGTAGGGCCCTGTGCCAGTGAAGAGAGAGGACAGCAAACAGTGGAGCCAAGGTCCTGTCCTCTGATGATGTCCACACAGCTGGGAAGCCCAACAGGTAAAATACAGAAGGAATGCCACATGTATCAAACAGAACTACATATTAAAATCTAAATAAAATTATTGAAAAGGATTAAATGAGAATCACACTTACATTGTCTTTCATATTGCAGACTATTTTTGCATAACATTTGTTGTTATCTCTTGATGGAACTGTCCATTCCAATGGCCAAAAGTAACTATGATAAACCTAAGAAGATATAAGCATAATTCAGACTCATTATTTCAAGCAGTTTGTCAAACATTAGATATGGTGAAAGACAGTGGGGAACTCTTTAATAATTAGCCGTTCATTAAACAATAAAACTCATGGACTAAATAGGAATCTATTACAAAAGGTAAATGACTTGAAACTCCTTGATGTCAGACACTTTTGCTACAAGCTCATATCTTAATTATGTATACCTCAACCTCAAAAGAGTAAACATTAAGTAAAAACAACAACAACAACAACAAAAGGGAATGAGAAAAAGAAGCCATAAAATTACTTGCTGTCTTGCATTAAGAACACACAAACACTCACTCAAAAAACCTCCCTCAATACTATTTTGTTACCTTATAGGAATGACAACTTGGACAAGAAACAAATAAAATGCCAGGAACAATCACAGCAATTATCTAGTTCTCTTGCTTAATGCTTCCAAAAGACATTTCCTTCTTTGGCATTATTCACCAAAAGCATCAAAGGAAGGAGGGAGGGAAGGAGGAAGGAAAATTGTAAGGACAGATATCCTTACTAAAAGGATTTTTTTCTCTTCCAACTGCTAGCCTTAGTTCAAAACATGATTTTTTTTTTTTTTTTGTGAGACAGAGTCTCACTCTGTTGCCCTGGATACAGTGCAGTGGCATCACCTTAGTTCACAGCAACCTCAAACTCCTGGGCTCAAGCGATCCTCCCCCGCCTCAGCCTTGCAAGTAGCTGGGACTACAGGCGTGCACCACCATGCCCAGCTAATTTTTCTATTGTTTTTTTTGTAGAGACAGGGTCTCTCTCTTGCTCAGGTTGGTGTGGACCTCCTGAGCTCAAACAATTCTCTTGCCTCGACCTCCCATAGTGTTGGGATTTTAAGTGTGAGCTATCAAGCCTGACTGATTTGCAACCTTTTAAAAGCACACAGATTATGAAAACATAGTAAGTATTCTACATTATAATACAACATATATTTTTAAAATAAATGTGTGTTGCAGAAATGTAATGTATAGTATCATAGTACACAAGTGTATAGAAAAAAAATTAATTTCCCCAAATTGCTAACAATTGCTGTTACAAACATAAATCTATTTGTAGTTGTTTCCTCTTTCCCTTACATTCTTCAAAATTTCAACTCAAACATGTTACTTTTATAAGAAAATAAGTAAATTTTAAAGATAATCTACAAAGAAATATGGAATATATTAAGAAACTTAAAATGTAAATACTTTTTGATAGAAAATCTATCCTTAAAAAATAATCAGAGAAATAAAAAATGAATTATAAGGAAGTTCATCATTCTATTAGTAATAGTGAAAACTATAAACAACCTAATTAATAAAAGCATGGCTTAACAAATTATAGTATAGCACCCCTTAACAGAACTATTATATTTCATTTCTCCTCTTATTTATAAGCACAAAGACAATGCTGTTTTTAGAGAATTGAAAGAAAATGTTTATAATTGTAATACTAATTGGTCAGAATAGTAGAAATGTAGTTTTTTAGTTTTCTTCTATTTTCCTATATTCTTCAGATTTCCAACAATATTGTTTTAATAATCAAAAGAAACCAATAAATGTGGTTTTAAATGTAACAGGAACTATTACTGGGTCAAAAAATGGACTATAAGTCATATAAAAGTATAATATCAATACTAAATTTCCTAAAAGTAATAACTATACATTGTGATTATATAAGAAAATTTCCTGCTCATAGGAAATAAACAATAAGTATTTAGGGGTAAAGGAACATTCAACTCTTTCTCAAATGATTTGGGGAAAGAATACACACAAACACACATACATAGAAATGAAGATTATAAAAAGCATATAAGACAAAGCAAAATATTAATAGTACCTGAATCTGGATAATGGGTGTACAGAAGTTCTTTGTGCTATTTTTCAACTTTTCCGTACACTTAAATTACTTTAAAATTTTGAAGGAAAAAACAGTAATTTAACATAGGAGAACATTAGAAAAGGAGAACTTACCTCAATATTCTCTTCCCCAAATTTCTCCACAGCCTTCTCTTCAGAAAGGCCACAAGCACCATATTCCAGAGGCGTAAATACAGTTGTTGGAACATTTTCATAGTCACACTGTTTAAAAATAGAAGTAAAGAGTTATAACTTAAAAAAAATATATACTCAAAAAAGTTCAAATTGAAAGGAAACTAAAAAATTTCTACACAAATCATGTGAAATCCCAATCCCAGATATTAATTAATAATGTACAACATTGAGAATCATTAACTTAGGAGAAAAGTTTTAGAAGTTTGAAGCATGATAAGACTGACGATAAAAAAAGAGATTCAGGCCGGGCGCGGTGGCTCACGCCTGTAATCCTAGCACTCTGGGAGACCGAGGCGGGCGGATTGCTCGAGGTTGGGAGTTCGAAACCATCCTGAGCGAGACTCCGTCTCTACTAAAAATAGAAAGAAATTAATTGACCAACTAAAATTAGCTGGGCATGGTGGTGCATGCCTGTAGTCCCAGCTACTTGGGAGGCTGAGGCAGTAGGATCGCTTGAGCTCAGGAGTTTGAGGTTGCTGTGAGCTAGGCTGACACCAGGGCACTCACTCTAGCCAGGGCAACAAAAGTGAGACTCTGTCTCAAAAAAAAAAAAAAAAAATTCCTGGATGTGTATTATAGTTAAAAAAAAAAAAAAAAAAAAAAAGAGAGATTCACATGTGGCTTCTCCACCCATCTACCAACTGATATTACCGACAATGACACACTTTGTCTCCTCTCAATAACACTGCAATGCTGATAGTCTCATATTATCAGTGATAAAAATTAAAAGACTTCTTTAGAACATCAACAGGTAATGCATAAAAGCCATAAAAGCATTTTATTCTTCTAGCTGAATAATCCTATCCTTTGTAAATCTATAGTAAGATTATAGATAATATACTATTATAATTTAACATATATAACAATATATATAATGTCATAACATATTACTATATTTATATTATGATATATAATACTAATATAATAACTTATTATACAGAAAAGGCTGAATGTATTAATTGAGCATTGCTACAGTACTCAACAGTGGCAATGTTGGAGTGCCCTTAAAATCCCAATGATTAGAAAGTGGTTCTATAGGACATACCTTCAATGTAATACTATGCAGCCATTAAACAAAAGGAAGACCATGGGGGGAAAAAAGGTTAACACTTTTGACAGTATTTTTCAAAGCCTATGGTATGATATTAATAAATGTAGATGACAAAAGGGTTCTGGGAGTCAAACAAAATCATAAAAAGCTGAGTTAAGCAAATAAACAGGATTCTCTACTATCAGATTTCTCAGAATCTTTAAAATGCTAATGTGAACTATGAAAAAATAGATTATGTAAATGCCAAATGTGTTTGTAAATGCCATTTGAATAAAACCTACCAGTTACATTTGTACACAGAGGTGAGCCTAAGTAACACTCTACTCTGATTTTAAAATATGAGAAATGTAATTCTCACTCTCTGAAACAAGGAAGTGAAATCTTTAAAATATGACCCCCACCCCAAAACAATTAATTTATCCTTTTTCTCTAAGAAGAATGTAAATCCTTAGAATTCTATAATATAAAATTAATGGCAGACATCCACTTATAGCCATAATGGTGTATCAGGGACCAGATTTACCCTTCTGCTTCAAACTAGAAAGCTAGACAAGTATGCAGCAAAACTTTTTAGACATTGGCCTATTGGCAACTTAGGCCCGTGATTCCAGAGAAGGGAAACAAATAAGGTAAGCCTTAAGACTGCTACAGCTTACTGCCCAGAGGCAGCTTCTAGGCCTCAGTGCAGGGAGAGGAGGCTCAAGTAGAGCTCAGTGGTCCTCCCCAGTTATGAAGACAGAGAGATCACAGCTCAGGGAAGCCAAGGTGGCTTGAAGCTACAGGGCAGAATACCAAACAGGATGGAGCTGCCTTTACAAAGAAAGTTCTTGAGATTTTTTTTTTTTTTGAGATAGAGTCTTGCTCTGTCACCAGGCTAGAATGCTATAGTGTCAGCCTAGCTCACAGCAACCTCAAACTCCTGGGTTCGAGCAATCCTCCTGCCTCACCTTCCCAAGTAGCTTCGACTACTGGCGTGTGCCACCACGCCCAGGTAATTTTTTTCTATTTTTAGTAGAGACAGGGTCTCCTCTTGCTCAGGCTGGTCTTGAACTCCTGACATCAAAGGATCCTCCCACCTCAGCCTCCCAGACTGCTAGGAGCACCAGGCCTGAGTTCTTAAGATTTACAGAGGTCTTCTTAAGAGTATGGCTGAGATGCAGAAGGCATGTCCAAAGGAGACAAAAAGATCTAATGATTTTTTTTTTAGGAATTCTCTGCTATAATGATTTCAAATTTATTTAAGTGCAACCTTTTGCATGTTTACTCTTTGGTTATTACTGATATATAAAAATATCTCTTCTAGCTTCTATATCTATAAATATTTCTATATTTTTATTTTCTATAAAAACATCTATATCTAGTTTAGGAAACCACAAAGATATAAATTCAAGAACAAATTAAATGCATCTCAATCTTAAGCTATATTTCTAAATAGCTTTTCTCGTCTTACCAGATACTAAACAATTATAACAATGAATACAAGCTGTAACTCAAAGAGGTAGTGTTGTTAAATTTATTCTAAATAGCAGTATGAACCAACTGCTATTCCCTGGATAATGAATCTGGCATTGAAAATCTTTTTTACCCCCAATCTGTTAATTTCAAAATACAAGGTTTTATTATGCCATGATCCAAAATAACCTAAAGTCACAAATAAATTTTGCTAGCATGATTCTGTGAGGTTTCCATTACTGTAACCAACTGAAATCAATCCATAATGATTTATACTCAAGGAATATGGGTAGTAACAAAATTCTTTACAATTAATGTTTTCAGAATCCTTTTTAAAAGTTAAGCATATTTATCCTTTTCTGGCCATCTAGTCCCAGGAAAGATACTGAAGACTTTCAATTTCCTACACTGACTTTTAAAAATCCCCTTAAAACATTGATATAACATTTAACACATTCAACAATCTAAGATGGAAAGACTTTTCAGCAAGAACAGGGTAACAAGGCCTGAAGAGTAGTTTAAGCTGCTCTGCACATTGAAACTATTACCGAAATCCCCAAATATTGACTAGTTGGGTGCCACAAAAAGATTTAGAAAATTATACTGGCGATAATGAAATTGATATAAAATGCAATGATTAAGAGTATGTGGAACATAACAGTGTCAAAACTTGATTAATCAAGCTCTTCTTACTCATAATGCAATTCCAAGAATAACAATTTTTATATACTAAAGTCACCAATGAACAGCAACTATAATGTCTTTTTTTGAATACAGTTATAAAGCACATCTAGGATGCCATCACCAAAATAACTAAATTATTTAAGACCTAGAAAAATTTCCAACTACCCCTAAATAGGGAACTGGGAGTATTATTAACAGTACCTAGTGGATGACAGCCTTAACACTCACCTTGACAGTGGAACCTGCATAAAGCCTCTGAGCCAGCAGTCTTCCTGCCTGGATTGCTACTGGGGTGAGCTCCAGCTTATCCTCCAACACATCTCCGATAGCATAGATATAAGGCACATTGGTCTGCTCTTCATCTGTGACAGGTATTTTTCCAGTCCTGTAAATTTATTCAGTTAAAAATCATAAGTAATTCCCCTATTAATAAAATAGAACAAAATCCCCTTTCTCCGAAGGAAGCCCAAAACTGTGACTCTAGCTAAAGGCAATGTTCTAATGTATTAAAAACAAAACAAAATTGCTCAGAGGAACTAAAAAGCTTAGTAACAACTCTGGCCACTATTTTGAAAAATCCAAGAAATAGGAAAACTATAACAAATAGAATGGAAGAACTGTAACATAGTGGCTAAAAAAGGAAAGAAGGAGAAATAATGTGAATAGCATTGGAAGAAGAGTTTTCTAAGCATAAAAAGGGAACTCTCTAACTATGGTAAAAATTAACTTTAAGAATCTAACTCTAGAATTGATCAATGCAGTAAATAACCAAAGTAGTAGTCAATATGGCATAATAAAGACTTTTTCTTACTTTTCATTTATCTGCACTCCCACAGTTTCTAAGCCAATTTTTCTTGTGCAAGGATCTCTTCCTATTGCCAGCAACACCTGACAAATTAATATATTAATGAGTATTAACAAAATGGCTTTCCATGAATTACTTAATCATATTTTTCTCTGTGTATTTAAACTAATCTAATTTCATTTTCCAGACCTGGAAATAAATATTTCACTAAGAAAGTAATGCAAGAGTTTAAACAAATTAAATTCTTTATGGAAAAATCCTTTGAACATGATATAGCAGAAACCCTTTTCCATTTCTTATTAAAGAGAAAGAGAGTTAGTAATTCCTTAATAAACCTATCCAAGTTCAAAGACAATGACTGCCTAGCCTATGACTGAATTAAGTTATTTTTTAAGTAGTGGCTAGGGAGATGAAAGAGGAAGAACACGGGACAGAAATCCTGGCTCATTTAAAAATTTTGGTGCCTTTGAATAGCCGTTTGCCAAACAATATTTTAAGTTATAGTGGAGGAAATCTGAAGCCATCCCTGTGAAAAATGATTTATAATATCATCAGTTATTAAGATGTCTTAGAATGGGCATAGAAGCAGTACATTTTAGAAATATCTAACCGTCATTCTAAGTACCTAATAAGCACCTTATTTGCTTTCTGATAAAGTACTGACCCAGGCCCACTCTTACCGTATTATATTCTCCTTCGATGGTTTCCTCACTAGTGGTAGACTGAGCTACCACCCTGAGTCGGCCTGGTGTCCCTGCTTCAATTTGTTCAATCTATAAAAGTAATAAAGTTTTACCATGAAATAAAGACATTTATCAAGGGGGATAACTGTATCTTCCCCCTTCTATCTGGTTAACCCAAAGTTAAAACATAAAATCTTGCCTGAAAAGTCTTTTATGACCCATCTCCCCCACTTTAACATCATTAGGATGATCAAGTCTTTAATTTAATCTCCTTTTTCACTGGTTAATGTTGTTTGCTAGAGAGGCTTTCTTTCATAGTTCTCAAACAATACAACTGAGAGAGAAAGCGGGAAAAGAAAGCCAGAAAAAGTATACTACAATCCCTAAAATCAAACCAGTGATTTTCTGTTTTCCCCAGGTTCCTATCTTTCTATTCACCCAGAATATTTAATCCCATGGAGAGCCACTGCTGCCCAAATTCAGAGATTTTCTTTTGACAACAAACGATCAACATTCATTGACAACAAAGAATAGATACTGAAGTATTAAATAGGGCAATAACAGCTAGAAAGCCTAAAAGTCATAGTGGGCTAGGAAATGTGTGTGTTTATCATAGCTAGGGGTTGTCCCTGGTTGCTAAAGATATAGAAAGGAATGAGCGAGGCCTGATACTTGTGCTATGGCAAATGAGAATGAACACAGGAACCCACTATACAAAGAAGCCAATGAGGGCCGGGCAAAGCCAATGAGGGCCGGGCGCGGTGGCTCACGCCTGTAATCCTAGCTCTTGGGAGGCCGAGGCGGGCGGATTGCTCAAGGTCAGGAGTTCAAAACCAGCCTGAGCAAGAGCGAGACCCCGTCTCTACTATAAATAGAAAGAAATTAATTGGCCAACTGATATATATATAAAAAATTAGCCGGGCATGGTGGCGCATGCCTGTAGTCCCAGCTACTCGGGAGGCTGAGGCAGAAGGATCGCTCGAGCCCAGGAGTTTGAGGTTGCTGTGAGCTAGGCTGACGCCATGGCACTCACTCTAGCCTGGACAACAAAGCGAGACTCTGTCTCAAAAAAAAAAAAAAAAAAAAAGAAGCCAATGATAGCCTATAGACTGGGTAACAATGACTTAGAAACCCTATTACCTGGAAGCTTCTTAAGTGTGTAGTTAACCTTTGTCTCTGAATAATAGCCAAATCATGAGTTCCTGTAAAATTTTTCCTAGAAGTCAAAATCACCTGCAATTTCTATTCTACCTTTAAAATACAATGATTCAAACAGAGTTGAGGGTCATTTTATTTTTAACATCAATAAACAGTAAAGATTACCTTCTTGAGTTCCCTTCTTTTAGTTAAACCTCTTTAAACATAGTTGAAAAGTCTTTCCTGTTTTACTTAAATTTAAATGTTCTAATATTTGGAGAACAGCTGAATTGGCCCATCGCTTAAGATTTGTTTCAAAATGGTAAGCAAAGGTCCTCATCCTACCTCTATCATTACTCACTTTTGTGCTGCAGTCAGGCCTTTTTCGTATTTAGAACAATTTTCTTCCCCACAGAGCCTTTTTGGACACACTGTATTCTCTGTCCAAAATGCACTTTCTCCCCTCTCTGCACTGAAGGCTCCCTCTAATCAGTCACTTTATAAAACACAGGAGTTTAATGCCCAGCTATGAGAATTGCATACCCTGGTGAAACCAATTTTACTAGGCAGAGTCCACAGGTTTTCAAGAGCATCCACAACTGCCCAAATGTTAAGATATTACACAGATAGATGTTACTCTTCTATCAGTACATCATACACATACAGGTGTTTTCTAATTGTAAGCCCTAATGCAAATATAGCACATATATACCTTTACTCCCTAAAAAACAGCTACAGTAATCAAGTACTGATAATTCCCAGGAAATTTGCCACTTAATCTTCACATTACGAGATACATTCACTTTAGGTTTACTCTCTGCCAGATACTGATCTAATTATTTTATAAGTGTTGGCTAATGCAAACCTCACATGAACTATGAGATAGATGCCATTATCAACCTCGTTTTACAGAAGAAACTGAGGTTCAGAGAGGTTAAATAACTCTCCTAAAGCCATATAGCAAGAAACGGGCAGAACAGTATTCAAATTCAGATCATTCTGAGCCTACAGCTCCTGCTCTAATATATCAGCACTAAGAGAGATTCATAGCCATGCAAAGAACTCAAGTTATCCCATTAAGAAATGTTAAAAAATGACAGCTAAAATTCCCTAACTTTAAAATAATAGTCCCTGCACTAAATAAAATTATCTATTAGTCTGAGATATACTAGATATACTAAGTGATCAATTTTGTCAGTCTTATCTATCAAGACATTTGCAGTAATGTTAACAAGTTCCAGATACAACTTGGCATATTATTAGATCTTTTTAAAAGAAGATTAAATTTGAAAGGCTAGCCCAAGTAACAAAATGATATAATTGTTTCCAGGGAAGCCAGAATTTATGTAGTTTGTGTGTTGACTGTCCTGTATGCCAAGGGGAAATATCTTATTGGCAGAGGGCGTGGGGGGGAATAAGCCTAGTCTTAAACTCTTATATGAAGAAACAAAGTATTAACAGACCAAAGATAAAAAAGTAAACAAATGCACAAAGGGAAGTATTAAGCAAAAGAGAACCAAAGATTTAAAAAAGTTGACAAAGGAAGAGAATATTAACTTATAAATTAAAAAAAAAAAAGCTATTTAGGTGGTAGGCAAGTACAAGTTTATATACCAGTATACAACAGTTGAGGAATCATAGCATTCCTGACGGTTTACAATGCTAAAAAGTACGCTGCTACCATCAATACAACTCTCTTCTTGCCTTTTAACATTAGTATAGAATCAACAAAACTACATGCAACCTTACTTACTTTGATTGGTACAAATTGTCTTATAAACTTGACACCATGTTCTTCCATGTGTTCACCAATTTTGTTGGCCATGTCCTGGTCAAATCCTCTAAGAAGAATGGACCGTACCATAACAGTGACATCTAAACCAATACCAGCAAGAAATCCAGCACATTCCAAAGCAACATAGGATGCTCCAACCACCAGGGTCTTACCCGGGCAGTAAGGTAAGGAGAAAAGATCATCACTGAAAAAGCGGGAGATGGGGTGGAGAAAGAAGAGAAAAATGTATATAAAAATAATGACTAAATCAAAGTAAATATTTTTACTTTCATAAGAACAAGATACTTTATGATTATAAACATTCAACTAGCTACACGCATTACATATGAGGAGTTTTCATAGGGTCCTAGATACTCTCCCTTTCTTGCCCCTCATTCACGTTAGACTACACTCTGCCAAGTATTCAGCTGCCACTGAGTTGCTTTTGGAGTAGCTCTAGCTACCCATGGCTAAATATAGTAAATCATGTAACTTCTGGTATTAGTCTAACTCATAGTCACATTAATTTTTGTAAACTGTTTGAAATAAGTCAGATATTTGCAAACCCAAACCCCTACCTTGAGTCTACCACTCAGCTCTCTCTCTGAGGAGAAAAACCTGTTATTTCTCAGCTGAAAACATCAATTATTCACAGTGAGGAGAAGGGTGGGGGAAAAAACTTTCAGTATTTTGTTTTTGTAATATGAAAACTAAGTATGAAAAGTAAAACCTGACAAAAATCTTCTGGTTGAGTTAGGAACATACAAGACATAGATCATAAAAGCATTGTTAGAAAATGAGTTTTTAAATATACACAACAGCCTGCTATGGTCTGAATGCTTGTTCTGCCAAAATTCTTATGTTGAAATCTTAGACCCCAAGTGATGGTATTAAGAGATAGAGCCTTTGGGAGGCTGATCCAATGATAGTGAGTTATCAGAACTTATTAACATTAGTGTCACTAAAGTTGGTACACAACCCCCACTGCTAAATTTCACTGGCTTAAAAATCTTTATATATATATATAAAGTCTATATCTATCTATCTATCTATCTATCTATCTATCTATCTATCTATCTATCTATCTATCTATCTATCTAAAGTATATATCTATATATATTAGTGATATTAACAATTCTGTGTAGTATGATGATCAATGCTTGTAGTTTTCAATTTTTTAAATGTTCTTGTTAAAAATAATTTTTACTTTTTCTCAAACCCTGTCTTCACCCAGAAAGAGCAAAATGTGGCAAAGAACTCTGAAGTCCAAGAAATGAACTAAGTGGGTTTGAAGAAAAAAGCAAAAGCAAAATCCCCTAGGTTTTCTTTCCTCCCCCACTCTTTTTTCCCCTTACCTGCTGATGCAGTATTCTTTGTCACCAGGGATGCCCAAGTAACGTGGCCTTTCACCAGTGGCAATGAGAAATCTCTCTGCTGAATAAATTTTTTCTTTGCCTTTATTATTTGTTGTCTACAAAGGAACCAACATGAAAACTTTAGTAATTATCCCTTAAAATTGTAAACTTTATAGTTAACAAAGGCTATTTACCACATTGTCTCATTTGATCTTCATAATTTGATAATACAGTAAGAGATATTAAGGCTGAGTAGCAAACAGGCTTGTTCAAGGTCACAATGCTATTAGGTAGCAGAGCCAGGCCTCAGATCCAGGTAATCTGGTCCAAAACTCCAACATTTTACCACACTCACACAGAAGACCCCATAAGAAGATGTGATGGCAAAAATCACCAAACTGGGTAGACCAGGTCACAGTGGCTATTACTTTTATTATAATTATTTTAATACTTAGATACCTTCCAACCAAAGCTTTAAAAAAAAAAAAAAAGCTAGTGGATGTCACAATTACCTTAATCCTATGAGGACCAATAAATTGCCCATAGGCATTCTCATAGACCACCTTTTTCTCCCGCAGAGCAACTCGGTAGCCCCAGTTCAGAGAGCCAATGTGATTCTGTATAGCTTCTGTCATTTTTTCCCAATCATGTTTAACTACATAAGAAAATAAGACAAAATTTTTAGCTTTTCAACTTCCGGCAAAGATCACTTCTCAATAACTACTAATAACACAATAACACACAAAGCAGAGATTTTAGTCTAAAAGGACAAGTCCTTTATTTTGAACATATATACTACTTTTCATCTTCAAATAGTTTCCCTTTTAGAAGACTACCATACAATTAAATAATGCAAGGCTTCCTGGCAATTCTCAAGACTAAAATAACCTTACACATTTTTTTTCTTCTTTATCTAGAAACGAACTGGAATTTTACTTTGGATTGTAAGTCCTGATTGCTGGGGTATATTAAGGCTTAGGATTCTATATTTGTTAACAAAGACAACAACAACAACAACAAAAATCTGAGAGATTCTGATGTAGCCAGGTCTGGAGTTACTGAACTGGTTAAGTGCTTATGCCAGGAGCTGGCAAACTATAATACTATGAGCCAAATCTAGCCTATCACCTTTTTGTAAATAAAGTTTTACTGAAATGCAGCCATGCTCATTTATTTCCATGTTCTCCAGGGCTGCTTTCACACTATAATGGCAGAGTTGAGCAACTACTACAGAGATCATATGGCCCAAGAAGACTAAGGTATTTATTATTTGGCCTTTTACAGGAAAAGTTCACTGATTCTTCATTTATACAGGAAATTTTAAGAGTCTATCTTATTTCTCCCCAAACTTCCATCAAAGAGTTTTGATTCTATCATAATTAATCATTTAATTAATGAATCCTTAGGGCCCTAAAGTATTACTAAATTCCAAAATTTAATGAATAAAAATCAACCCTTTGTCATTCAACAACTTATCAATGACTAGGAAAAATAAAATATGGGTAAATATACTCTGGTAGTAGGCAGAAGACAGGTCCTAGGGAAGTTGTGGTTTGGAAGGAAGAAGAAAATCAATACATACTGAAAGCCTCTCTCATGGAAATGAGGAAATCTGAGCCTCCAATTCAGTGGTTAAGTAGCCTGGCCATATAGTAAGTGGTGAAACCAGGTCTATGACACCTAATGGCCAGGCTAGCCTCTGGAAGTGGGAATGACACCACAGAAATCAGTTTGTGGCCTTCTAGAGAACAGATTATGAATTTTTAATTCATAAGATCATAAAATGTTAGAACTAGAGCAAACACTAAGAGATTAGTTCGATTAAAAAAAAAAAAAAGTAACTGCAAAAGCCACTGTGGTTATGGAAACAGGAGGACCAGGTTCCTGGGGTGGGGAAGGCTACAGGGAGCCTGGACCAGCCTGCCTGTCTGGCAGCTGCCTACCACCACTATAAAGAAAAAAGGCAAGACTCGATGTTTCTCTAACAGGAATGGGACATACATCACCCACATGTGCCAATCATTTAGCTGCAATAATTACCAATACTTTACCAAATTTCTTTTTATATCCCTCTTTCTCGTAAGGGTCTGAAGAAATAGATGTGACTCCAACTTAAAAAAACTTTAAAAGTAACTGATTTTCAAAGATTCCAGACTTAAAATAAGTACTATTATTTTTAAATGGGAAAAAGCAGCATCAACAAAGGAAGCATGACTAGTTTGAGCGGGAGGCAAAAGTTTTCAACCACATATTTGTCTTATTTCTATATTTAATAAACTGTTAATTAAAACTCTGAAAAAACCACAGAACAGTTTAGTTACTGGCTGGAATATTTTCCCTCAAATTTCCCACACCCTATAAATCTCAAATCTACAGGGGTTGGAGTTTCACTCTTCAAGGACAGAGTGATATATATGTTATTAATTAGTCACGAAGCTGTGCCAAGCCTCACTTTATTCTGCTACCAGATAATGCAATCTACTCGCTAAAGTTAACAATTGCCTTTTCAACTTGTCTAGGCTTTCTAGTATACTCTAAATATTTTTAATCCAACAAAGTCTAATCATTCCCTCCTCAATAAACAATCACCACTCCCCACAAATATCAGACCATAAAATGGACTTCTTTGAAAGGAGAGAAAAATGCAACAGCTTCAAAAGAAAACAAATGCAATTAATACTTTTTTACAAATTACAAACATTGTATGACTTCTTACAAAAACTATGTTAAGAACTTATTTGAAAAAAAACTGGTTTTCTCCTATAAAAAAATACCATACTCCAAGCACAGTATCTATTGTTACTGTAGTAACTACCTGACAAAGGATAACTGCAGTGATTTTATTCATAAAAAATGTAAACAATAAAAACAACTTCCAGGGTATTTGCTAGCCTCGTAAAAATGAAAAATACATTCCCAGACCACAGCTCAAACCCCCAAAAGCACACACAGAAGAGTAGTTTTCCCTCCCATACCCTTCTCCTCGACTTTCCATCCGTAGTTTCGAGAGTCTTGTAAGGCTTGCCCTAACAAAGCTGCTTGGTGCATCAGTTTTTTAGGAATGCAGCCTACATTCACACATGTTCCTCCAAGACCTGCAACAACATTGAGAAATCAGTTTACAGACTGCTTTACAAGGCTTCTAAGAAAAAGTTCAATGATTATTACAGTTCTAGGAAGCATCATAATTTATTTGCTTAATGGAGCCAATACCATTTATATAATTTATTTCTAAGTCTCATGATGTTTCTAAATTCAGAGAGCTTTATTTACCATACACAGTAATTCATCCTAACACAAAACAAAGAGGCAGATTCCCACACTCTACATATACTTCAAAGATTCAAAATTAATTAATAAAGATGCCAGAAATTGAAATTTTACTATGTGCATAACCCTACAGAGATGGTCCCAAACTTAACAATGGTTTTACATGTAATTTTTCAATTTTACAATAATACCCATGCAACCATTCTGTGTTTCACTTCAGTACAGTATTCAATAAATTACACAAGATATTCAATACTTTATTATAAAATAGGCTTTGTGTTAGATGATTTTTCCCATCTATAGGTTAATGTTAAAGTGTTCTCAGTATGTTTAAGGTAGGCTAGGCTGAGCTAAGATGTGTGGTAAATTAGGTATATTAAATGCATCATCTTCTTCTTCTTCTTTTTTTTTTTTTTCCCAGAGACAGGGTCTCACTGTGTTGCCCAGGATAGAGTACAGTGGCCCAATCATAGCTCACTGTAACCTCAACCTCCTGACTCAAGGAATCCTTCTGCCTCCGTCTCCCAAGTAGCTAGGACTACAGGCACATGCTACCAGGCCTGGTTAATTTTTTTTTTTTTTTTTTTTGAGACAGAGTCTTGCTTTGTTGCCCAGGCTAGAGTGAGTGCCGTGGCGTCAGCCTAGCTCACAGCAACCTCAAACTCCTGGGCTCAAGCGATCCTTCTGTCTCAGCCTCCCAAGTAGCTGGGACTACAGGCATGAGCCACCATGCCCGGCTAATTTTTTGTATATATATTAGTTGGCCAATTAGTTTCTTTCTATTTATAGTAGAGACGGGGTCTCACTCTTGCTCAGGCTGGTTTCGAACTCCCGACCTCGAGCGATCCGCCCGCCTCGGCCTCCCAGAGAGCTAGGATTACAGGCGTGAGCCACCGCGCCCGGCCTGGTTAATTTTTTAATAGAGACAGGGTCTCACTATGTTGTCCACGTTGGTCTCGAACTCTTGGTCCTCCTGCCTCAGCCTTCCAAAACACTGGGATTACAAGCATGAGCCACTATGCCCATCCTTAAATGTATTTTCAACTTAGGATATCTTCAACTTATGCTGGCTTTATCAGTACATAAACCTGCACCATAAGTTGAGAAGCATCTATACTTACCACTGAATCTATGCACAAACTACCTGATGAATTCAGTGGGTCTAAAACTACATTTAAAATTTAACATATATATGCATTTTTTAAAGGAGGTAGCCTATAGTTTTTGTTTAATTCTAATAGACTATCAAGGATTCTTGACTCTCCTCATCCCCTAAAAAAAGGTTTAGCATCCCTAAGCTTAAAAAATACGGTGAATAGCTTGTTTTCATTAAAACAAAATGCAGGCCAGGCGCTGTGGCTCACGCCTGTAATCCTAGCACTCTGGGAGGCCGAGACGGGCGGATTGCTCGAGGTCAGGAGTTCGAAACCAGCCTGAGCAAGAGCAAGACCCCGTCTCTACTATAAATAGAAAGAAACTAATTGTCCAACTAATATATATAGAAAAAATTAGCCAGGCATGGTGGTGCATGGCTGTAGTCCCAGCTACTTGGGAGGCTGAGGCAGGAGGATTGCCTGAGCCCAGGAGATTGAGGTTGCTGTGAGCTAGGCTGAAGCCACGGCATTCACTCTAGCCTGGGCAATAAAAGCGAGACTCTGTCTCAAAAAAAAAAAAAAAAAAAATGCAGACAAGTGGGGAGGTGGCAAAAATGATGTAAGAATGAGAGATGGCAGTGGACTGCACAGCTCAAAGGTAAGTCCTCTTAGTAGAATGCTATCAGAGTGCCACTATGGCGTGTAAGCTCCACAGGGCAGAGGGTACATACGTAGCACCAAGAATAGTGCCTGATGCAGCGTTGACACTCAACAAATATGTGCTAAATGAATGAATCAGAAATTGTGACACCACCTAATGTGGACTTCCTGCTTCTTGCCTCCTTCTAATGTAAGCAGCCAAGCAATCTTTTAAAAATTTACATATCACATCATTTCTCTACCTTAAGTTCCTCAAAGGCTTTCTGCTATATGCTTTGATTAGTCCAAATTCCTCATCATGACCTACAAGGTCCTGTACAGTCTGATACCTGCCTTCCTCTCCAGTCTTAGCTCATACTACCACTTCTAACTCGTCCTACCCATGCCATACCAAGCAGGACTCTTAACTACCTCAGGGTCTTTGTATGTACTATTCTCTGAGCAAGACAGAGAAAAGCTGCCTGGAAGGTTCTGCCTTACCTTCTAGGATATAACTGTATAGCTCATTCTCATTCTTTACGCCTCTTCTACATACCACCTCTTCAGAAGCCTTCCTGGATAATCTTCTCAAAGCTAAACTCTCTCCTTTACCTAGTTCTCTCTATCCCACTATATAATTTCTTTCATTACCACTTATCACAATTCATAAAGTTCTTTTGTCCCTGCCTAGAATATAAGCACCACAAGGGCAGGAACTCTGTGTGTACCATGTTCACTGCTATATCCCTATGGCCTGGTTCATAGTAAGTGTTCAATAAACATTTGCTAAATAAATGAATAATAAACATATAATTCACCAAGAATCAGAAGCAGCAAGGGTATCCATTAAGGTATGTGATTCCAATTCTCAATGAATATATGAGGAATATTTAAAACAGATATCCATAGATGAAATGTTTAAATTTTCAGTTATTAAGCCCCTAAATAAACTAGATTACTCAAATATTTACCTTTATATCATAGCTTGTTGATAAGGTTTGTACTACCTTGACTCTGTGCTAAAGCATCTATATTTTCAGCATTTAACTTAAGATCACCTTAACTTAGTTCAAATGAAAGAGATATATGTTTTATTTTGTTTAATTTTATCAGGTTTTAGGAGTCACTTAGATCAGTGCCAGGGAAAAACGTGCTTCTGCAAAATCACTTCTAGAATTACTTTAAAAGCTTACCCCATCTAGTTCCAAGAGGGGTGGGAGTGACAAAATCGAGGACCATCACCTTCTTGTCATATTTGGCTGCCTCCTGAAAAATAAAATTATTAAAATGAGTTGGAAAAGTTAACATGATAGAGTGGAAATGGGCTGTTAAAATCCATGCCATTGTTATTAAACTATAATGCCTAGAGCATAACTAGTTATTAACACCTGGGAATTTCATATACCATGATGATTAGTTCAACTCCAAGATAAAAATTAAAGAGATTCAGATAGTTATGAGGGTAGATTTGAAAGTTATGTAGGTTATAGTTGTAAAATTGTTAGAATCAGCTGGAAACCTTAGAATCTTCTTATATAATTCCACTTAAACAATAACAGATTAAGCAATAATCTGAAAAAAAGTGGCCATTTCCAAGCAAGTGCTAAGTAGCTGGTCTACTGATAGTCTACAGCCCTTGACCCAACCTGTGTCCTATGAGGTAATATTTTTTAAAGCATTTCAAAGTTTTATCTAATTTGGTTTCTGTGGCAGAATACTGGAGAAATTTTTCTTCTGAAATTGTCAGATTTACTAAAATTTTCACATGAGTGGCCCATGAAAAAGACAGTCTATCTGGTTTTCAAATCCATTTTTAGGAACATGAGGGAAAATAGTCAGAAATTTATTTTGCAGAATATCTTTTATCTATCTCAGAATAAACTTTGCATACTGGCAACTAGGTCTCCAAAGATTATCTGAAAGGACTGGGTCTATGTGTCCTTCAAATACACTATCACTACAGTAAAATGTATCAGGTATTACTCCTGAAATCACTTTCAGCAAAACACTGCTTCATGCTAGACATTGGCCTCCTCTTAATTTAGGCAGCTTCATTTGAATCCACCTTTACTGATTCACCACAAGCTACACCTTAGGGGAGTATAATAACCACTTCATCTTTTAAATGAACCAGCCAGGCAAGGTGGCTCAAGCCTACAATCCTAGCAGTCTGGGAGGCCGAGGCAGGAGAATTGCTTAAGTTCAGGAGTTTGAGACTAGCATGAACAAGAGCAAGACTGTATCTCTACTAAAAATAGAAAAATTAGCTGGGCAAGGTGGTGTTCTCCTGTAGTCCCAGCTACTCAAGAGGCTGAGTCAAGAGTATCACTTGAGCCCAGGAGTGTGAGCCTGCAGTGAGCTATGATGACACCACTGCACTCTACCTTGAGACTGTCTCAAAAAAATAAAAACAAGAAAAACAAAAGCAAACACAAAAAACCTATTGGGTAGGGATGACAAGCCCAAGGGCTCTTCACCTGGGAAATGTATCTTGATTCAGGATCAGGAGCCTCATTCCTAGCCTTCCTTATTTATATATTCTTTTCCCAATTACCCCCAAGCCACAGAGTTAGTGGTTACTCTCTTAGATCACCCCATATACACAGAAAGTAAATCACTTTTAATAAATAAATTCAACAAATTCAACTGCTCTTTCTTTCCTTCTACTGGGGAGAAGGGGTTGTGAATAGGGAAATCATCAAGTGAAAAAAACAAACATAAATATTGACAAAGAATGTACTTGTTTAATTTCAAACCATTTCCACACAACATCCTTATAATCTTTGAAGTCAACAAAATTTAAAATGAATAAAAATGTGTCCCAAAATACTGAGCCCTGTACTTCTATATTAAAAAAAACATATATTTCAATCTAGAAAAATGATTTATGAAGTGGTCCCTTAACATGGTCATGTCCTGCCCAAATTAATGTGCAAAATGTCACAAGAGTGGATCAAAAAAACTCCACAGAGAATACAGAGAACTCTGCTAGGAATGTCAATATTGTAACCATAATCCAGATAACAAACAACTCAAAGAGCCTTGCCTTAGCAGCTGCCAGTCCTCCTGAGCCGCCTCCAATGATGATAAGGTCATAGTCATAGGACTCAGGAAGACCCTCAGAACCATTCATTTTTAGTAGCTTTTGAAGTCTGCCCTCCTGGTAAGCCTAAATAAAAATAATAGAAGAGAAAATAATTTAACTTAAAATTTGCAATGTCCAAAAAGCTTTGTAAGAAAACCTTTCTTTAAAGAAAAACAAAAGAAATTTTTGAAGGAAAAAATGTTGTTTTGATTCGTATTATGGCATACAAATGGAAAACCTTCAGATAGTTGCTTTCTTTTTGGTTATTAGCCTTAAGGACTGTTTCCTAATGCTTTTCACATCACCATTAACTACTCTGAAGCCTTCATATTGTACTTCTGCACAAGGTAAGGTCCTGATAGCCCAAAAAAACCAATCAAGTTTAATCATCAGCTCTTTTTTCCTATGATTTTTTAACTAAGTTTTAAATTAAGTTTCAAAAAACATTTGTACTATATGTTTTTAACAGAAGCATCCATATACCATATAGTTTAACAATCATCTTTACTTTCTAAACAAAGGTAAAATGGAAGGATTAAGGACTCAGACTAAGATAAGGGCTTGGTAAATACAGCCACTGCTAATAATCTCTATTTAACAATTTTTAAAACCACAATGAGCCATTACCTTACCCCAGTTAGAATGGCTTTTATTAAAAAGTCCCAAAACAATAGATGCTGGCATGGATGCAGAGAGAAAGGAATGCTTATACACTGTTGCTGGGACTGAAAATTTTTAATAGTGCAACTTCTATAGAAAACAGTATGGACATTCCTCAAAGAACTAAAAGCAGACCTACCATTCCATCCAGCAATCCTACTATTGGTATTTACCCAAAGGAAAACAAGTTGTTTTATCAAAAAGACACTTGCACTCAAATGTTTATTACAGCACAATTCACAATAGCAAAGATGTGAAATCAACCCAAATGCCCATGAATTCATGAGGGGATTAATAAAATGTGGTATGTTTATACCATGGAGTACTACTCAGCCATAAAAAAGATAAATTAATACCTTTTATAACAATCTGGATGGAACTGGAGACCATTTTCCTAAGTGAAGTATCTCAAGAATGGAAAAACCAATACCGCCTGTACTCATTATTAAACTGAAATGAACCAATAAGCACACATGTGGACAAAGGAAAGTAAAACTCAGTGGAAATCAACCAGCAGGAAAGGGAGAGCGGGCGAGGGACAAACAGGTACAATGAACACTATTTAGGTGATGGGCATACAGATAGCCAGGACTTAAAGCATTACAAAGCAACCCATGTAGCCTAATACATTTGTACCTCCTTAATATTTTGAAATTAAAAAAATCAGCCAAATATTTAAGACTTTTCTATACCATTTAGCTGAAGCATAAAATCTAGAAATTCAAAACAAAATTATTAATTGGAACTGACCTGCATGAAAAATTGAATGCAAAAGTTGCTACTTCTATATTTTATATGCATGACTCTATGAAGCTCATTCCTTTAATCTGCATATGCATGAAGTCTCCTAAGTTTAGTATTTAGTTTCCATAGACTTAGCATGTAACAGACTTTATAACTTTGGTGTTAGACTCTCAATTTTAAAAATCCTTTCATTCTGGTAGTTTTTAATGCATATTAGTTATATTTCATATTGGTTTAGAATACTGGTTTGGTGATATATTTAATACTACCTTTTATTAAAATGAAAATCTGTGCTAACAAGATATTGGAAAAGTTGTTAACAAGCATAATAAAATGATTTTTAAAAATCAAATCTTAACCTTAATAAGCAAAAAAGCCCAAACTTACCAGCCCACACTGCATATTTCTCTCCTTCCTACCATCAGATGTAGGGGGTGGAAGGCAGAACTTGGGATCAGCAGAACAGGGTACTTGGGCTGCAGAAGGAGTTGCAGTGGAAGAATGTGGAGGAGGAAATACAGCACTGTGACTACCCCTGGAGAGCATGGCAGGTACACATGGTGGCACAGGGACTGAAGGGAGAACACCTGGAAACCAGCAACAGTGGGGACAAGACAGCGCCACCCTGACAGTCTGCACAAGAGGTCTAATGTGAGAGGCTGGTAAACACAACCAGTATTCATCAACTGGCATTATGGCCAAGGTTCCTCCTTCAATAAAAGGCACTGTGGGGGAAAAACAATTTGGTAATAATAGCCATTCAGATCAAAGGATCAATATAAGCTTCAGATTATCGAGTATTACTCCCTAGATGATCTCACAAAGCATGCAGCTGACTTGCTGGTTTAAAAAAGATAACTAATGCTGCTAGATGTTCTGTTGGAAAAATAACATACAACCTAATTTTTTAATCTTAACCTCATTTTATCTGTATGAAGTCAGCACTGATGGCAACAGGACACAGTAACTGCCTGTCTAAATGAAAACTACCAGTTCTTAAAACCTACCTCCCCCCACATGCCTACTGGAACAAATCAAAGAAAATGTATCCTCATGCTAAAAAGCACATACTCCCCTCCACCAATGTTTACAATCTGTTCTTTACTGAAGTTCTGTATCTAACCTGGGTTCTTATGGTTCAAGCTTAAAGTCAAATTTTAGCAATCAGCGCAGAGATTTTTACAAAGCAAGCTCTGGGTGAGCCTGAACATCGTTAACTCTATAAGGTAAAATCAGGAAGACACAGGTAATTGAAGCATTCAGTTGACCCTAGAGCTAAATATTATTTTAAATTTTAATTCAAGCTAAAATGAAAAGTGCTGTCATTCTCAGCACACATAAGTAGTATTGAGAGACAGCAGAAGACAGCTCCTGCAGACAGTGTAAGAAAGAGACAATAGAAGACAGCTGCTCCAGACAGCGTAAGGGAGCAGACACAACGTAAGGAGAGACAGGAGAACAATGCCTCTACCCTCCTCCAATTAATTGCTAGGAATAATGGCTGCTGACTTGGTGGATGACACAGGACCCCTTTAGTCTCAGGGCCTCTTTACAATCTTCAATTATTTATGACTTCAAAGAGCTTTTTTGTTAATTTGGGTTTTATGTACTAATATTTACTATATTACAAATTGAAAATAAGAAAAAACTTAAAATATTTCTTAATAAATTTAAAAAGAATGCACCTATTTCATGTTAACATGAACATTTTTCTAGAAATATTTTTTGAAAAGTTAGAAGAGTAGCACTGTTTTGTATCTTCACAATTCTCTTTAATGTCTGGCTTAACAAAAGATATAACTCTTTGTTCCATGGTCTTAATGTGTTGAAAAAAAAAAAAGATGGTTCTTATCTGTTTCTCCATGCAATCTCTTGCAACATCACCTGTCACATAGCCACCGGAAAACCCCATGGTAGACATGCAAGAGAATTAGAGTAAAAAGGGCAAATAGCATCTTAGCATTATAAAAATAATTTTGACCTCAAAATTATTATACCACAGAAAGAACTTCAGGGGCCCCCAGAGGAACAAGACACACTTTGAGAACCACTGCTGTAGAATATAATCGTAGATGCACACCTCACCTTCAGGTTGGCCAGACTTACATATTGGATAGTTTTCTTTTCTTCCATCTGCCCCTCACATGCTTCTCCCCCCACCCCACTCCTAGTAAAACACTGCTCCAGACTCCTGCAAAATGGCACAATACAGAAGCAATTCAATGGTGGCAGAGTTCTTTAAAATTAGAATAAGCAATCCTGATTTTCCTCCAAAACATGATTCCTATCCTTTGCCAGATTTATACTGTTTTTTTTCCTACCATTATAAAAGGCCCTGGGGTTGAACTAACCTGGGTTAAAATACTTGCTCTACCACTCTCACAGCTGGGTGGCTTGGACCAATCATCTAATCCTTAATGAAGTGAACAAACTCCTGACCTTTATCAAATGGCTGGGCTTAAGGGAGATACACATGTTAACACAGTGGCCAGCAGGAACAAATCCCTTTAAGTTACTGTCTACTTCCTGCAGAAGGGAAACTGCCTGGGGCTAAAACAAGAAACTCTGCGGTATGATTTACAGGTGTCCCCTGAGTTTCCTTGCACCAACCCACCTGAAATGTCTTTCTTCCTATCAAATCCTGATCTAGTATATAGCAAGACTAGCATGATGTCTTATTTTTATTCAGTGTACACAAACATATTATCCTTCAAAAGCTTGTCTCTGTGGGTTGGGAGGTTCTTTTAGCAACACTCTAAGACCCCAATACAAGGCCCATTTTATCCATCAAATCTCTGGCAAGTTGCCAAACAGTCTCCTTTTTTTTCTTTGTAATGCCAGTAACACATTGTCAGGGCACTTAGCACCGAATGCTCCCTTACCCAGGATGTCCTCTTTTCTCCACTCCAGGCTTTTATGCCCTTCAATTTGTAACTGGAAGCCTTTACTTGACAGCCCCTGGGTGAGTGCTCCTTCTCTGAGATCCCACTGCCACCATCACACAATCCTATCGACTCTGCAGACAGGCATCTTGTCTTTCATCTCTGCAGCCCCAGTACCAACTCTGCATATATGTGATATTCAAAAACACTTTTAGAATAAAAGACCTGGGTACTAGTTTCAACTCTGCTATGCATACCAAGAGGCTGGGCTTCAGTTTTCTTATTCATAAAATTGAATGGAAAACACTTTTAAAAAGTCCAAGGGGGTTACTTAGCATAGCAGCTTCGATTTCATCCAGATCTGAATCTGACTTTGCCACTTACATGTGATCTTGGGCAAGTTGTCTAAATTCTCCTGCCATGGTTTTCTTGTTTGCAAAAACAAAGGTGACGAAACATGTACCTCACTGGGGTTTTATGTGAACAAAATTGGACAATCCATGTAAATGTAATACAGTTCTATCACAAAGTATTCAATATATTAGCTACATAGTAAGGCACAAAAGTGATCATAGAGATACTAAAAGAAATGGTGAATAGTTGGTAGTGTAGGTTTCAGTTGAAGAAAAGACCTAAACAGCAGATAAGATTTAGAGCCACTGCTATAGAAGAATTCTTATTCCCCAAATCCCAAATGTGCCCAATTGATTGAATTGCATGTTTTATACCTCATGTACAAATAGACAGCATGACTTTCCCTAATACCATACAAGCTCATGTCTGGGCTATCAAAAAAACCAAACCAGCCTGGTGCGGTGGCTCACGCCTATAATCCTAGCACTCTGGGAGGCTGAGGTGGGAGGATGGCTCAAGGTCAGGAGTTGGAAACCAGCCTGAGCAAGAGCGAGACCCCATCTCTACTAAAAATAGAAAGAAATTAACTGGCCAACTAAAAATATATAGAAAAAATTAGCTGGACAAGGCAGAACATGCCTGTAGTCCTAGCTACTAGGGAGGCTGAGGCAGAAAGATCACTTGAGCCCAGGAGTTTGAGGTTGCTGTGACCTAGGCTGATGCCATGGCATCTAGCCCGGGCAACAGAGTGAGACTGTCTCAAAACAAAAACAAAACAAAACAAAAACACCAAACCAAAATAAAAAACAAACACAGGAGTAGGCTATTAATAGTTAAGTTTTGGGGGAGTCAAAAGTTATATTCAGATTTAACTGCACAGGCTGTTGGCATCCCAAGCCCCTATATTGTTCAAGGGTCAACTGAACAATACAAGTACTCTATCAAGTACAGTCATGTATTACTTAATGATGGGGATATGTTCTGAGAAATGTGTCATTAGGCCATTTCATAATTGTGCAAACCACCTAGAGTATACTTACACAAACCTAGATGGTATAGCCTACTACACACCTAGGCTATACAGCATAGCCTAGGCCACAAACCTGTATAGCATGTTACTATACTAAATACTATAGCCAGCTATAACACAATGGTATTTGTATATCTAAACACAGAAAAACCACAGTAAAAATACAGTATGAAAGATAAAAAATGGTATACCTCTATAGGGCACTTACCATGAATGGAACTTGCAGTACTAGAAGTTGCTCTAGGTGAGTCATTGAATGAGGGGTGAGTGAATGTGACCACCTAGGACATTACTGTACGCTACTACAGACTTTATAAACACTGTACACTTAGGTTAAATTCATTTAAAATTTTTTTCTTTTATCAATAATTAACCTTAGCTTACTGTAACATTTTTGAACATTTTGACTCTTCTGTAATAACACTTAGCTTAAAACACATTGTACAACTGTATAAAAATACTTTATTTTATAAGCCTTTTTCTATTTTTGAAAGCTTTTTACTTTTAAAACTTTTTTGTTGAAAACTATAACACACATCAGCCTAGGCCTACACAGGATCAGGATCATCAATATCACTCTTCCATCTTCATAACTTATCCCACTGGAGTGTCTATAGTGGCAATAATGTGCATGGAGTAGGCCAGGCGTGGTGGTACATGCCTGTAGTCCCAGCTACTTGGGAGGCTGAGGCAGGAGGATCACTTTAGCCTAGGAATTTGAGGTTGCAATGAGCTATGATTGTGCCATTGCACTCTAGGCAAAAGAGCAAGACCCTGTCTCCATGCATGGAGCTGTCTCTGAATATGATAACAATGCCTTCTTCTGGAGTATCTCCTAAAGGACCTGATGCTCTTCTTGAAGAGGTATGCTCTGTAACTTTAGGAGGGTTACCAACTCAGTAAGTTGATTAAGAATGTTTTAGCTCCATTTATAATCTTATGGGACCATTGCCATATATGCAGTCCGTGATCTCATGCAGCACATGGCTGACCTTATTCGGTGCATGATTGTATTCTGGTAAACAACTTATGACAAAGAGATTACATTTCAAATTTCTCCTCCCGGGGGCTTTCCCTTACCAGCCCCTTTCTGAAGTAGCACACCTCAACCACTATCCAAGCAATTTTTCTTCAGAGCAATCATGATTTAATAGGAATATTGTTCTCTTTTCCTGTGATAGGCTGAAAAATAGTTCCTCTCAATGTCAAAGTCTGAATTCCTAGAACCAGTGACTATGTTACCTGTAAAAGAGACTTTGGAGATGTGATTAAGGTTCTAGAGATAGATTTTCCAGGATTATCTAAGTAGGCCCAATGGAATCACAAGTGTTCTTAGAAGACGGAGGTAAGGGAGACTTGATTCCAGAAGTAATGACAAAAGAAAGAGGTTGCATTGCCAGCTTTGAAAATGGAGGAAGGGACTTTGAGTCAAGGAATGCAGGTGGCTCCAGAAGCTGAAAAAAGCAAGGGGAATAGATTCCCCCTCAGAAGGAACTGGTTCTCCCTCAGAAGGAACTCCCTCCAGAAGGAACCAGACCTGCTGATAGCCTTGATTTTAGCCCAGGGAGATGAATTTTAGTTGGATGTCCAATGTCCAGAACTGTAAAATAATTGTGTAAAGCCACCAAATGGTAATTTGTTACAGAAGCAATAGGATATAAATCTGTATATTTCAGCACCTCTAAAATATAAATTCTATTGAGAGATGGGTGATTTTCTACCCATCACTTTTTCCCCAGTGCCTAGAGCAGTTACTGGCACAATGGATATTCAAGCAGTTGAGTAAATTAACAATGTGCCGATTCTAATCACTTGGCAATAGATTCTCCAGGACAATGGCAAGGGTCTAAAAACTATAAGGAAGAACTTATGTCTACACTCAAAGGAAAGTGAATGAACTATTACAAGAGATGTTACCATGAAAGGAAGTGGCACCATGGAATTTGCTGACCCTGATCTAGAGTGTGGAATACTAACATGAGTGTCTACAATGAGAAAGATACTATGCTGGATGTTTTATATACGTTATCTCATTTAACTCCCACAATAAAGTCTTCCAAGTGGATGTCATTCCCATTTCGTATAAAAGATACGAGAGGCCCTTCGAGATTAAGAAATTTGCCCAAGAGCCAAGAATTGAAACCAGATCTATATGATTATAAATCTCTTCTTTTCCCATTATACCATACCCAGTAATTGATATTTCAAAGTACTTGTCACAAACATTTCATACTTTAGAAGTCCAATGCACTATCCATTGCACAACAGAGTATTTCATACTTTAATCTTTACTGTAAACTTGATAGGTACTATTCCCACTTGGTAGATCAAAAGTCTGAAGTTTACAGGTTATATAATTTACCCAAAGTACACAACTAGAATGCTACAGAATCAGGATACGATCCCAGGTCCTTTATCAGAAAGTGGTTTTATTATATGATAATTTTTTTAAAATCTGTAATATTTTCCTAAAGTTCAGTTTTTTAGACCTGCAACATTAAGCTATGTCATTAGTGGGAAACCAGATTTGCAGTGTGGTTCTTAATCTCTATGACTGAACTTTTATCTTCTTTTGCTTCAAGGTAAACAGTCATTTTAATTTCAAAATTTCAAACTGATAAGGTAACCTGTGTCATGACAACTGGTAAAAACAAAGAAAACAAGTGGTCATCTTGATGTATATTTTAACAGCTATTAACTTTAGAGAAGACCTCAAAACCATTGATGGTTTTATAGTAAGTGAAGATCATTTGGATAAGACATATTTTAGTTTAAAAGGGACTGTTTCCAGGCATTTACAGTTCTACTAAGAAATGAAAAACTGAACTGGGACAAATATTCAAACCTGTTACATGATGAATTCTGAAGGACACTCTGCATACTAGCAGAGAACACAAAGGGAAATTAGGGACCAGAGAAGAAATAAACTAACTAGATAAAGCCTACAACTGAATTTTGTTTGAAGCTGTAGCTGGACAAAAATATCTTCTACCTCTGAGCATACTAACAGTCATTCAATTTTTCCCTAGTTTAACATTCAAAAGGAATAGTTGTTCCATAAATCTGATGGTCCCTTCAAGCCCTTAACTTCTCACAATTCCATGTCTGACCTCACTACTCTCCTGCCTAGAATGCTTTTTCCCCATCTTATTCTGACTCACCTTTCAGCCCTTAGTTGATGCCTCCACTACTACAGCAGATGCTTCTTTGAGACTGATCACAGGATAAATTGTTTAGAATATGAAAACCCACTCATAAATCTTAATGAGTCCTCTCTGCAATGAAAAATGTTTTATGGTCAAAACATTACATGTTTACTGCCTTACAAATAATTTTTCTTAATTTTTTTCACCCACTCTTCCCCCAACCTGCTTAGGCTCGGAGCCCCTTATGGGATTCTCTTGGTCCCTGTGACAAAGCAATGCAATATCAGAGAATCATAACTGATTTGGGTAAATTATTTTTGTTCTTTTTGCAAATTACCAAATACCTTTTATGATATTCAATACTTTTTATTTAATCTTAGAAGACGTACAAAAAAACTTTTCCATAAACATGCCAGTGAATTTTTTTAATAACAGATGACCTTATAAATTACCAAGTAAAATACACTCACAGTAAAACAATTTCTGATGTTTTTGAAAATGCTTTTTCACTTTACAAGAAATACATTATGTGCTTCTGTTTAGATATTACTATCCATTTTGAGATATTTCAGAAAAACCACAAAAGTGATCCTATACTAAGAAAAAATACTTAGTATGAGTTTTTGATCATGGCCTCTGAAATTTCAAAAGTCGCCACAATATTTTTCCAGTCCTGTAAACTTAAAGATATAACTCCTTGTTTCCTGCCATGGGAACTGGGATCATTTTCGTCATCCATTTGGTTAATATTAATTGGCTCTAATATTGGCAGCCTGTCTTGGTCAAGCCTTATTCTTGCAAAACCATCTCTTATAATGAAAGAAACATAAAATATGTTCTCCACCGTGCGAGAAAAAGAGTTTGGATCAATCACAAATTCAAAATATGACACAGGAGTATCAGGATACTTTCGAAAGTAGGTTTGCAACAATCCCAATATTCTTTCTACTTCTTTTTCTGTTGCTTCTTGATTACTATTTAGGTCCAACTTCCTCAACTTTGTAGGCATATCCCCATTTTCTTCCATTTTACGAACTTTTTTCTGATGTCCAAGTCGGGGTTTTGGTGCAGAAGGTTCTGGCTTGAAAGAACCAAAAATAAAGTGGAATGTTTCAGCTTGTACTATCCAGGATGTTGCTTCCTTTTGTACTGTCTCCCAGAAGGAAAGAGCTATATTATCATCACAACCACTCAATTCATCACGCTCATCATGTTCCATCCAATTCAGACCCACAAACATAAACAGAAAGTCACAAAATGTCACTTGATTAAAAAAGCTCATATCAGAGTTTAACTGCTTTGCTTTTTCTTTACCCAAATCAGAAGCCAAAACAAGAAACTGGGCATCAAGGGCTGCTTCTCTTGTTCGGCTCACCCCGTCAAACAGGATGTTGGCTTCTTCAAGTGCCTCGGTTAACGAGTCGCTCGCGGTGTTCACGATGTCATCGCGGTTCTGCTGGACGCTGTAGATGAGCTGCCGGTACTGCTTGCGGATATTCCGACATTTCTCTTCATCATCTGCAAGCCCCAGGAGGTTTGGGTCGATGTCGGCCTCTCCAGAGCTGAGGTCGTCAGAGCAGCCATCACCCCCCGCCGCCACTTCCACCTTCATCGGTTCCGCCTCCTCCACCTGTTTCACCGAGTACTCTCTAACGGTGAAGGTCATGAGCGGCTCCCCTCCTTTCTCTTCGTCTCCCTTCAGGGAACCTTTTTCGTCAGACATATCGGATATGAGCGGCGCTCAGGCAGCCGGGGCGCTCGGCTAACCGCCTGCCCAGCGTTTCTGACGCCGGCGGAAATCGAAGGGGCAGCTCGAGCCGAAGAGGACGCCGCCCATGCGCACAAGAGCCCAGCCCGGCCGGGCCCGCCCCCCGCGCAAGGACGCCCCGCCCCGCGGAGCCCCGCCCCGCAGAGCCCCGCCCCGGCGTACTCACGCTCGGAACCGCGCAGTAGTGGGCCGCAAATCCACACGCACTAATCGTGGGGCAGGTATTCCTTCTAGCGTTTACTGTCACTTAACTGTTAAAGAAACACTTTTGGACAAGCATATGACATAAGTTTGGTGGAGACTAAAGGTCCTGCGCTTTAAAACATTCGCTGCCATATAGGTTCAGTTGACCTACAGTTTTCGTTCTTACTATGATTAAGAGGTGTTTTATCTGGTGTTCTGTTTTTGGCTAGGCTACATAATGCCGGTAAGGCCAAGGGCCGTGAAATGCGGAACCTCCATGACAAACAGGCCAACTCTCAGGTTCCTTTGCAAGGTGATTGGAATTCATTATAAAAATGTAAATTGCGTTAATTACTTTCGCACCTCTTCAAAAGCTAAATCTCTTCTTCCGCCCAATCCCACCTCAAGGACCTAGAGGTTAGGGGGAGCCGTGAGAATCCCTGCTAACGCATTAGAGAAGTGAGTGCTGGGCATGCGCATCACTAAAGTAAATTTTGGTTCCCCACCACGGAAGGGTATAAGAATAGAGTGGGTAGGATTCTCCGCAAAAGAGCTGTTTATTTGGAAGCCTGCCAAAAGCTAAAGGCCGCAGACTCTAGATGGGTAGTAATTCTGAACCCTAAAAGATGAGCAAAGCTATAAAGATTTTAGACACAATTTGTTAAAAGGATATAAAAAGCTTAGTCTGTAAACTGGGTGACTCAACTGTGTTGGAAAATTCACCCAATGGCTTACTGGGAGAGTCTATGGAAATTCACTTGCAGCTGAAGAGGAGGCTCTGTTTATCAGTCACACAAATAACAGCAAAGTATACCTAACAATGGGAAGGAATACATCTTGTTTTTAAAGAGAGCATGCACACAAACCAACCCTCAAGATCAACAGATTTTCAGCCTACAACAGTAGCGCATTAAAAATACAAAAAAAGGGGGACCCTGTCAATCATGGGTTTCAAAGCAACAGTAAGTAAACGAGCCCTACCTTTTGCTTATGCATCTAGACCAGTTCATGCTTCTTTGGCATTAGAAGAAAGTTTCTTGCAAATGCATGAATAGCAAAACCTATTAAGTTACTCCAAAATCCTCAGTTCACAATTATTTTTTTCAACTATGGGTAATTCAGGAAGAAACATGCATTTTTCAAAAACATGTATTAGGATTACTTGTGCATATATACATGAATATTATCCTGCCCTATTAGACTGTTAGCTTCTCAAAAATAAGAATGTTTTTAATCTTCCAAACGTAGCTGTTTTCACATGGATGCACTAAGCATGCACTGAATGTATAAATGAATGTAGAGTAGAAACTTTGTTCCATTACCTATTGCAAATTATTTGGCAGCAAAGATTAATTTTACAGATTAGTGGAAGTACTAGATCCTACACATTCTAAGTAAAATTGACTGCTCTTCAGAAAAAGTCAGTCTTTTCCCTTCTCTGAAATAAACAATTAGGGAAAGACAAGTTGAGACCCAGGATCCATATCTTTCCCAAGTCTTGCCAATTACAAACTACTATTTAAACCTGTTTTAAATCTTAGGTGAAAATACAGTTAAGAATTCCAAGACCTAAATCCAAAAAGTTTAACAGTGAACTATATTCTTGGGAGCTTCTGATGTCCACTTTAAATTCAATAAGAGTAATTTATAAAAGAACTTCAAATGACTAAGCCAACCCTTCCCACCCTAAGGTGCCTATTTCCTCCTGGCTCAGAGAAGGGAAAACAGGCTGACACCAATTTGCTCCATAGAGCCTTTCATCTAAGAATTTCAAAATGCTTTAGAAAACTATATTAATTCTCCCAACCTACTTATAAAGTCTTACTAATACTATTTACAAGGATTTCTCAGGAGATAACAGCCCACACAACTTGCTTAGAGCAACAGAGCACATCAAGGCAAGCATCACATTAATAAGTTGTGATTTCCAGTGTTGAATTTATTCTATAAAGGATCCCCAAGAACCGCAGTTAACATGTAACTTAGATAATCCTCAGAAAGGCAGAATTGGCCTTATATTTTGCCTTTAAAAATCTGCCTTTGGAACACAAGGTTTTAGACATTGCTACAAAGCAAAACAATCAAGACTAATGATTTTCCCCAAATCATTTTAAGAATGGGATTACTATGCTGGTGAATCTTTAAATTATTAAACAACCATTTTCTAACATAAGGTTCAACTGCCACCAAAAATTACTTAAATCAGCTTAAAAAGAAGCAATAGCACTATATAATTTTAAATTATACTGGTAAATTCTCTATGACTAGGAATAAAAGAAAGCAATAAGTACACTGGTACTTCAAAGAAATCACAAAGATCTGTCTTCTTCTTGCAGCAAGACTAGTCCAGGCAACCAAGAGACATAAATTGGCCTCAGAGATAATTTAGCTCCTCTTTTCCTCCTTTTTCCTCTTTCTTCTCTCAAGAGTTGCTGCCCAGGGCTCAATATAACCTTCCATTTCCTTTCTTCTATTCACCTATATTATTTTTCAGTCCCTTTTCTTACATTTCAGATTAATTCCAAGCATTCTTAAGCTCTTTCTACAATCCCTCCTGCTCAACACAAACATGACGGGCTGGATGACAAAGGTTACAGGCCTCTTTATGGCCAAATGAAAGAACTTCCATAGTAGGGTCCACTATTCTTTCGGAATGGTTTTTTTTTTGAGACAGTCTCTCAGTTGCCCTGGCTAGAATGCTGTGGCATCAGCCTAGCTCACAGTAACCTCAAACTCCTAGGCACAAGCGATCCTTCTGCCTCAGCCTCCCGAGTAGCTGGGACTACAGGCATGCACCACCGTGCCCGGCTAATTTTTTCTATTTTTGGTAGACATGGGGTGTCCCTTTCTTGCTCAGGGTGGTCTCGCACTCCTGAGTTCAAATAATCCACCCACCTAGGCCTCCTGGAGTGCTAAGATTAACAGGCATAAGCCACATCAGCCTTCAATGAGGTTTTTATTACATGACTAATCTATACCAAAAACCAGGAACCAGTCACATTTGAGCACCACACTCTAAGAGATATACTTCTCCTGCTATCAGCTACCTTCCCAAACTTCAATGTTCCTTCTTTCATAGCAGCTTATCTCCACTCAGACCACCAGGATATCTGTTTAATACTGAGCTTTGAAGAAATGTTCTAAAAGTCCTAGTTTGATTTGCCAGAGTAGCAAGGTATCAGATATAGTTCCACTTTCATCTTAATTTTCTTTAAAGCTATGTTGTATATATATTTTTTGCTTTTTAAATTTTTTTGTTTTTTAGTATTTTTAATATTAAAGGTAAACTTTGCTATAATCAAGACAGATATCTGTATTTTTAAATGAGTTTTTAAAAAGACCATGGACTGTGAGAGGAGACAAATCTGGGTTCTAATCTTGATCTATTAGCTATTTGTATTAATATTATCTTAGGAAGCTTGCTTAACCTCTCAGCCTCCAGTGTCATCATTTGAGAATTGGGATACTACTATACTGGGCCCTCGAAAAACCCAGGTTTGGACTGCATGGGTCCATTTATACCAAATGAGGAGCAAAAAATACAGTATTTGCCTGATGTGAAATGCTGGAATACGGAGAACAGACTTCATATACAGAGGTTTTGCCGGGATGACTTCTGGACTTGACTACCCATGGATCTGGGTATACTCAGGGGTCCTGGAACCAATCCCGAGTATACCAAGGGACAACTGTATTTACATCATACAATTAACTATATTGAATCAGAATTATGTAATGGACCTGACAGTTTTCAACTATTGAACAGGTACTTAGTAAATCATAAATTATGCCAAAGATAGAAAATGTAAAAAAAATGTACATAGACCATTAAGTTTCACTTCTGGATTGCTTTAGGAACAGAAAAGTATTTTTAAAGGTTAAATCAAGAGGAATACAGGAATAATAAATATTCCAGTATAACAAATGTCAGTGAAAAGAAATGTGCCATATGACAAAATAAAAAAATCTAAGGTTTCAACTAATGAAATTGTATGTAGTATACTCTGAAGGGTAAATCTCTCTACCAGATAGTCTGAAGCAAGTAATCTGAATGTATATGCAAATTTATTTAAGTGCATTTTTCTTATAATTGGTACCTTGGATCTCAGCAGATTCTGGTTTTTTTGAGATAGAATCTCACTCTGTTGCCCAAGTTAGAGTGGCGTGGCATCAGCCTAGCTCACAACAACCTCAAACTCCTTGGTTCAAGTGATCCTCCTGCCTCAGCCTCCCGAGTAACTGGGAGTAGCTGGGACTACAGGCACGTGCCACCATGCCAGGCTAATTTTTTTTTCTATATATTTTTAGTTGGTCAATTAATTTCTTTCTGTTTTTAGTAGAGAAGAGGTCTTGCTCTTGCTCAGGCTGGTTTTGAACTCCTGACCTTGAGCCATCCTCCCACCTCAGCCTCCCAGAGTGCTAGAATTACAGGTGTGAGTCACAGCACCCGGTCTCAGCAGATTTTTTAAATAGTCCGGTATTCAAAAGAGGCTATAAATAACAGCTCTATTCAAATAAGATGGCATTAATATTACTGAAGTTAAAGATATAATGAAAGTCAAGTCCCACTAAATAATTTGGACTCACACACTGAAATACTTTAGAGTATATATAATCTCCACCCTTGCTCTGTGGTCAAGTCATACATTTAATGACACTTAGAAACCCCAGTACTGGCTGACTTGCCAAGCCTCAAGAATATAAACAAAGGTCCTTTCAGGTTACAAGAGCCTCAACGACACCTCAGGAGTCTGCAATGACCAGGAACATCATTTTTATAGAGTGGGAGAGTAGGAACACACTAGGTATGAGCTATTAAAAGAGGTAGTGTTGGCCGGGCGCGGTGGCTCACGCCTATAATCCTAGCTCTTGGGAGGCCGAGGCGGGCGGATTGCTCAAGGTCAGGAGTTC